AATTTTTTATGGTTTAACCGAAACGTAAAATCTTGTGATTTTTTGCATCTTTTTGCCTTTGGTGTTTAACGGTATTTAACTCTTTTGCTTTCTGCGTTTTGTATTTTTCCTTTACATTAAGTTTACCATACCGTATTTTTAGCTGCTTTTTTTGCACAGTAATTTCTACCGCTCCGTTAATTACAAGGTAAGCTTTTTGATACGTTCAGTTTCATCAATTAAAAACGGGGGGGGGGGTTTGTCTCACTTCCTGCAATTGTATTCTCGTAGAAATCGCTACCGAATCCGATTAATCCGATTATTTACTGTTCCAGTTTAGGGAAATTGCTGTGCACTTTAAGTTTGTTTTAACAGTCACCAGTAGCCGCCCACCGCTTGCCCTTTTTAACTTCATTAAATTACATAAGCTACCGATGGTGCACAAGCTTCCGGCGAAAGTTCGTCGCAGCATCACAGAAACTAAAATGGCGTAACCTGTTTCATTTTTACTGACAGTTTGTCTTGTAGTTTCAATGTGTTGCCCACATCAGATGTGCATTATATGGACGTAAGTCGTAATTATCGTGGAAGGATTATTTACCACACAAAAAGTGACTGACAGTTTTTCTGTATTCTGGATGACGGCTCGAGTGCAACTCTCGTGTTTGGATATGATACTTTATGTAGCATTGAAAACGAAATACTACAATGTTCTACTACGATCTTAGTTTATTCGTAAGCAGCGGCCTCACTCAACTGTTATCATTTTGGATTGCTATCATTGCATATTTATTGTACGCAATTCACGACATACATCACCCTCACAAAGATTGGTCCAAGCAATTTTTAGGACAGACCACTACGTCCACTCAAAAACTGTCAAAAACAAATGACTTTTTCTGAAAGGGGATTTATTATATATTGGCCGAAACTTCATGGCTTGCGACATACGCGTGATATAAAGACCTTAAGAAATTGCCACATTTTATTTGGTCAATTGAATACGTCCGAGGTGAAAACGTGTTTTTTATATTAGCCGTCAATATTTTATTGACAACTTGAGTACGGCAACCCTTATGAAATTATCAAATGATGAACAGTTTCAGTTTGTAAGGTAAAATGAAAAAAAAATACGGTGGGGAAGCGTGTTGAATTTAAATTACACTTTCCACTATAGCACTCGTGTCCCACGTTTGCACCGAAATCGAAATTAATTAAAAAGGCATCCTCATCGCTCTTAATTAACAAAATGTTTTTCGAGATTATATTGAATTGACGACTCTGGTTATGATAAATTCTTCGCGGGTTTGCACTTACTCCCTCGTGTAGTATTTTCATTTCGTTTCGGCGGGCGCCAGAGAGTTTATTAGATAAACTTGCATACCCTTTGCCGGGAAATATTTGCAGATTAAAACTAAGAAAAAGGAATCGGCGACTGAAAAACGTTAGTGGATATCGATCGTTTATGAGCGCTGGGAAAGTTTTTGGAGTTTTGCTTTTACGAGCGTTCCATTTTATGAACCGTTCCACTAATTACGTGCTATCAAAACTTTCAAGTATTTAACTAGAACAACAGCACGCACGCCACGTATTTGGTGTTAATATTGTTTACCTAATGTTCTAAATACCAAACGGTGTCGTAACTTTTATTAAAGTTAATTAATCCCCATATCACGTTAACTGTTGCTTTGAGGGATGAATTTCGCAACGTTTCTCCATAAGCACGTTTTCAACTTAAGCTCAACAGAAAACGTAATGAGTTGTTATATGAAAATTAAGTAAACCGAATTATTTATGTTACTTCCCTACTCCCTCTGAAGTTGGTAGTGTGCCCAAAATGCTGGCGTAAAATCTTGACTGAAATTCTTTGGTAAAGGAAATTTTTTGCTCTCTGATCCCCGGATTCTGCTTGCAATTTTTTTCCAACAATACTTGCCAAGCCTTTGGTCTAATGCCCCAAGAATTTCTACAGTCTTTGCAAATGATGTTATTGAAATTTTTCTGCACGTCTCTTCTGAAACTACTTCGACAGAGACTGATCTTTTCAGGAAGCGTTACTGCCAAAGGAAGTCGCTGTGCCTGGACGTTTACCGCCTTATCTCAACAATCCTATATGCCAGAGACAGTTGAAGGATTTGATTTAACTGAACGGGTCTGACTTTACTTTTGACGCAAACGAGACCATGAAGATCATTTTTTGAGACTTCAACGCCACAACCAAAAAGGAGTGTTTTTTGAAAATTGGGCAACCCACACGAAGAGCTGTACGGCTTCTGAAAGTTGCATTAGAGTGCCAATGTTTTTAGAAGGCTCAATTTTAATCAAGCTCAAGATTCTTTTTCAGGATCTTAGAAACCAAATCTTGAACAGAGTCTCAAAGTCTTCGCATTTTCTTATTCCTAGACCACCAAGACTAATTTAGAGAGTTGCTTGCCATTGAGTCTTCCAAAAGTATTTTTTGGAGGAGTTTGTAAAAATTTCTACTGACTCATGGACATTTCCATAAGGGACATTCTCGTAGGAGATCAGTCAATTTAGGAATCGATAGGTAATTTTTTGGAACGTTAACTATCTAATCTAGAAATGAGTAAGATCAATTGCTGCAGTTCTGTCTCCATGCAAACTTTACGCCGTTTTCAGAGATCCAAATTGACAAGCTGAACCCCTTGACAGCCAGAATTATATTTTTGGATTGTCTTTTCATAGCGGTTTCACAAAAGGAAAAAGGATTGGAATGTGCTCTTCAGCCTCTGTAAGCCTGATGTCCTTGAAGACCGTTTTCTTAATTGAAACCCGCCTTTGCTCAAGAAAAAATTTATTGATGTGTAAACAACGTCAGATGGACGTTCCTTATTGGGATAATGCCGTAGATAGGAACGGGCCACCCTGTATGCGTAAAGTATTAATTTACTTTAAATCTATTCCGAATAAGCACGGAATTGGTTTATTTTATCGGAATTTGTTATTTTACTTTCTATTTTAGCTTTGTGTTTAATTGCTTAATATTTTGTTTAAAGCTTGTCTGTGTAAAATTTGTTTAATTAAATTAAAAGATCTGAAAATTACGTGTTAAATGTTAAATATCAGGCGGAGTGCATTTAAGTGTTATCTGGTCGTTTTGCGATAAGAAATGTTATCGGACAGTACACGTCGATACATCATAAGCGTCGGATGTGTTTATTATCGTGGGTTCTTTGCGCTTTGGTTGTGAAGAGACCTGCAATTCTTGTCTTGAACGCGAGGTGTTTTGGGGCAGCGCTCGGTTTTAAGTTTTTAGTTATTAATTGGGAAATTTTAGTAATTTCTTTTTATTGTACTAAAAATCAAAGTGTTGTCCCGTTTGAACAGCCATCGCATCGAAAATTAGAAATTGTAATTAAGTGCTTGCAAAACTGTAAGTAATTTGTTAAGGCATGTGATTTGATGTTTTTCAGAGAATTATATCATCCTTTGAAGAAGCATCCAACAACATACTTAGCTAACTATGCTTTATAATACCGGCCGTAAGACTTTCGCCACCTGCGCGTGGGGTAAATGTAACGGACCCTTCTTTATTTCAGGTTTTTATTCAGTACGGGCTTCGAAATAAATTCTTTTGTCTGTTCTAGTTAAATAATTGTGTGTATTTGAATCCATTGTACGATCCAGATGAGTTCTCATGTTTTTTTGCCTGGCTGTGCCCAAGATATCTCTCAATTGATTTCGTTGGAATTTTCTGACGTTGATCGAGGTTACTTGGCCTTCTAAATGATTACTTTTGAGTCATTATTCGGATTTTGTTTTGTTGCAAATTCCAGAGATGTACGAGGAGAGATCATAAAAGTTCTGTTTCAATTTTTGATTTATTTGAGATACTGGTCAGATGGTTTGTAGGCGGTGTACGTGACCCCACGTCATTGCACAAAGTAATATTTACAAATAATTACCACAATAATTAAAGCTCATAACCGATGTATACCGTGCTTAAGGAATCTTTGTGATTGTTGCTCGAAGAGTTCTTTTACGGCATCTTGTACTTCGTCCGATTGTTTTAACGCCTTTTTCAGTGGACCAAAAAATGATGTTGCCAAGATAAGGCCATTCGCAAGCTTTTTTGGTCCGCAGACAAAAGGCGAGGAACCCATTGCCCACAAACTTTTACGACGTGATTTTTTTCTGCTTGAGTATTTTTTAAATTTATGTAACATTCGATTTTTACTCTCATTCTACCTATTTCCTCTGTAAACCCGTTTAGTAGATGTAAGTTTGTTCTGTGGTAGACTTACTTTACCTCCTTATTTTGCCGCTAGAGGTCACGCTTTGTATCCTTAATTTAAATTAATATTCCTTCTATTTTAACTTTGTCTTGCGTACAAGCTGTGCTGTTCCTTGCAGAGAATATTCTGCTTTCATAGTGGTTTCTTGTCTACCTAAAGGGCTCTTTGTAGTGGGTATTATTATACCTAGTGCTTTGGATGTGTTTTGGTAGCTCCATTGAATGCGGTTAGCGGATTTATACTTAGGATGTAGCCCCGAAATCGATTGCTAACGAAAAAATAAATACTTCGGCCGTGTTCTTATTCTACTCATATTACTGACTGAACCACTGACTTGGAGTCATACGTAAATTTCATTCGTACTAGCTTAACTACGTTTCATATCTTTTATATTAGTCTGTTTACCGATATTAGTGAATTGATTTTAAATTGTAAATTTAGTTATTTAAAGTTACGGTTATTTTGTCATCGCCGATTTGTACGGACGATTCGTTGTCCATCAAAATTTTGCTGTTGTTTAGCTAACGTAAATTGAATGATTGGTTCTGATTGAGTATTAGTTACGGCTTTAGTATACAAGTACCCGCGTCTCCACCGTTAGTAATTGCTACCGTTGATTATAAATATCATTAGTTACTTAGAGGTAAATACCAATATTTACACGGATTTTTAATTTTTAAAGAAAAAAGCTGTATTGATTTTTTCGGTAGCTTCTCGTGGCATCTAACTAATCAGTAGACATTTCCAGGGCAACTATTTTCCAGCTAAAGTAGGCGAGTCACTTTATTAATAATTAGTACAATCGACTTAATGGATAGAGGTGAAATACGACTAATCCATTGGTTCAAACACATTATTCCCAAATTGGAACTCAATATTGCCGGATGGGTTGTAATTACAGACCATGAATATCCCTCCTTCCGAATTCTTGGCGATACCAACACCAAGTTCGAGAGAACCCTTCCAAACGATCTGTGTGAAATGCAAAGTGGCAAACTGAACACTTTCGGTGCCATAGGTGTACCTCTGGGCTTCGTTGTACCATAAATCTACACTGTTTTGTGCTATTTCCGCGTCGGTCACGCCAGGGTAGTACGTAAAGTCGAGATTCTCCCCGTAGTGGTTACCTGGACGATGTGACAAAGACGACGTTTTCGCGCAATGCTCAGCCCACTCCTTTGCGTAAACGCTCAGCTAAAAAATAAGTAAGCTAACAAAATTGCGTTCGCAATTAACCTGCGCGTTTAAGGTCAATGCGGGAACTCCGTGTTTAGTTCTGTACTGATTATGACGTTCCAATACTGCAATTGCTATTTCGTCACTGCAACTTCCTAGAGCTGTTGCAAATAAGAGTAGTCCTGCAACTACAGGTTTTAGCTTCTAGTATTTCTATTGAGTTTGGCGAACACTTACATTTGAATATTAGGCTGGGAGATTTCTTTGATGCGTTGGCCATATACATGGGAGTTTTCATATTCATTTTGAGGTAAAGTGGATTTTTTGAGGCTGCTTTGTCACTAGCACGCACATGCAATAAATTTATATTAAACGTGCTTAAGCTACATTTTGTCACACCGCATGATGTAGTTTAAGCACGTTATGGAAAGAATATAATATAAATATGAATATAAGAAGTCGTGTTAATTTATCTGAATCAAAACAAGGCTGTATTGCAACTACTTCTCGGCGCGGAGATATAATGAAGATACACTTGCTATTGAGTTGTATGGTGTAGATATACCTTGATCATAGGGTTAAGAAGCTGCATAGTGAATAGAACAAGGGGCTCACATTAGTATGTACACGTATCATTTGTAAACATTCTTCAGACACTCCCTTTTCGGGATATTCATAGTTGAAGCTTTGATCCTACCGACGGATGCATCTCGTCGACATTTATCACTTTCCCTTTGTGAGCACCCTACTCCGAGATCCTCTTTTCGAGGTATTCATATTTGAAATTCTGCCCACTGTCCTCCCCCTACGTGTTTAATATAAGCGATTAGTTAGTTAAAATCAAGTGGCTTTAAAATTACAGAAAAATTGGATAACCAATAAGAAAATTACTTCTGCACATGTGGGCGACGCACCCGACTTGTGACATGCACATTCAAGGTTCAATTTCTTATATTCTTCACAGCTGCAATGGGTGTGAATATTTTCAATTACACATAATGCTTTTTGGCATGGGCGTGAATAAAATTTTGTAATTAACTGTATATAATGTATATTGGGTTTTGTAAACGTATCATTTGTTGTAAGTTTAAATTTAGAATAGAGGGAATGTACTTTGACCGATCAAAGAGTGACGGTAAATTTTAATCACTGCGAATCAAGTCATTGTGAAGCTTTCATGCTAATCGCAGGTTCTTAACGCGCACCACTACAACGTGGTGAAATATTTAAAAGGTGCCTACAGCTATTGTCGTTTAGGGCATTAATATCCAAAGTGCAAACTGACGTGAGTGCATATTGAGTTTACTGCCAGCTAATCGTATTCGCTCAGCGTGGATGAAATTTCACATGGAAAGATTCCTAAAAATGAGATCACAGTAACGTGCAGTTTAAAAGGGTTCACGAACTAGTTAGTACTATGAAGAGACCAACGGTTGAAGCACGCGTTTTGTTAATCACTTGCTAATTTTATTTGCTAGCGTTTGTTTCCAAGGACCAAGGAGCAGTGACGATTTAAATACAAATCAAGTTACTGGAGTCCATTTATCCGAGAAGAGTGACGTGGGCGTTTCGACTTTTCCGTTTTGTTCGTAACCAAAATTTGATTTACGTACGCTTTTGCTCTTTCTGAATATTCAAACATGTTAAATTCTTTTTCTGAGGCCACTTGTATTTGAATCAAAGCATACCAAAATCATTTTTCATGCACCAAGATCGTTGGGAACTAAACGAAGAGCATTATACCATATGCTTTTTGCTCAAAACATACCAAAGTTGTTATTCTTGCACCGAGATCGATAGAAAAAAGACCAAGAGCATTATCTTAATGCCAAAGACATTAAATTTGATGCGTTATATGTTTAAAATAAATGGCAGTTAAAAAAGTCATGGTAATACTGAGGATCATTCGATATTCCGTTGTACCTATCGGTTTATTTTATGTGCAGTTTTTGTTCTTCAGATTTCAAAATTACAAATTTAGGAAATGTGTTTAAAGTGAAAATATAAAGCTGCGGCAGCTTGCAATTCCTGTACTTTAAAATTTAATTTCAGAATTGAAAATGTATTTATGAATTTTAGTGGTATATAGTGTGCGTTCGTTCTTAGTTAAGTGATTACAAATGTATGGCATTGGCCAATAGATGCTATTTCAGTTCCCTAAAATCTGATGTAAAATTTCTAATGCTTTGATATGGTACATTAAAACGGTTACACAGGGAAATTTTACGTATGTATTGTTTTAAAAGAATCTCTCTGTAGGTATCCAATGAGCCCGTTTCTGAAAAAAACAATTTCCAATGTTATACCACTTCTTGTACCGGAAGTTTATTTTTTTGAATTATGCAAGTTTCTTGGAAATCCTCGGGAAATATATTTCTCCAAAAGCAGGTACATTGTCTTTTATAAAGAACACGAAGTAGATCTAATTTCAGGGTTTGCTTAAATAGAGCCTTACCTGTAGAAACTGTCCAAAAAGGTTGTTCAGAGGGGTACAGATAGTTCAGTAGTAGAAAATGCAAAAACTCTATTTTTGAAATGAAACCTCCTTTTTTTGTTTTACAGTGGATTCGATACTAAACAAGCGCATTTTTAGTAATACCGATCAGTATTTTATTAGCGAAGTTTAAAATCATCTATATCATGAGTACTAACTCAAAATAGACTAGAGCCTGCACATCTACACTATAGCAGAAAGCTTTTAGTGAAAATTTGAAGTTTTTGGCTATTGTAATTACTGAGATCTTAGCCGAACAGCAAGGCAGCCAGCCATAACGAATATAATACTGTATTTTTTCAAAAATGTGCTAAAAATGGGGGCAATGTTTTCTTGTATCACACTATATCGTCGAGAAGTATATCATATAATGTTGTAACCAACTATGATTTCCATTAGGGTAAACAAAAGTTCTTAAGTTCCAAAAGTATTTGAAATTCAATTTTTGTATTCTTTTTCCTGATTACATTGATGTATCACATCCTATATTTGTTTTTATATTATTATATTAAATTTATATGATTATATCATACTTTCAAAAGATATATTTCTACCGTCAGGCATTTATTGATTGGTATGGGCTGCCTTAGTTACCATGGATACAATAAACAAAACAAAATATCCATGAATCCATGGTCTACTATTTAAAAACAGTAAAAAATAGATTTTCATGGCTATAGTCAAAAGAAATATAGGTTGTGATACATCAATGCAATCAGTAAAAGGTATGCAAAAAAGTTAAGATATACAGGGTGTTGCATTTAAAAAATACCAAGTTTAGGTCAAAAAGTTTTTTTTACTACGCAACTGGACTTTTTTTATCTTACATGGGTAGTAACATATGATAACATACCAAAAAATCAAACTTTTCGTTTTCACCCTGTATATCAGACACAAACGTAGCTGGTCTCATTCTCCGTTTAGTTCCTACTTGCAGTTAGTGTTGCTGTAAAGAGTCAGTATTTTCCAAACTCTCCTTTTTTATCGCATTTTTGCAAATTTATTTGTAAAAAGGCAATTTTTAATCTCACTTCGGCCTGCTGGCAGCAAATGTGGGCCCGTAGAAGAACGCTTGTGGAACGAGGAGGAGTGTACAATTGTACATGCACCTACCGGATCCGTGTAATTAACAACTTCAGGCTCTGGAGTCAGCGACATCTGGGCGCCATCCCCGAGTGTTATACTAACGTGGTGATTTTTCAGTGTTTACCTATCTTCTATAGTTTGGATCCGATTGTTTTTAAATTGGTGTCGTTGGAAAGATCTTGTAAACGCGCCCAACTCCTGCATGAGCAAATTTTTTTTTTTCGTAGAGGTCAAATAAACCACCTTTTGCAAGGCGAGCGTCTTTGAGGGGCTGCCAAAAGTTACTTTCCCCTGTGAATTTTGTCACGCGGTTTAAAGTTTCTTAAAGACAAAATCGCGGTCTCTCTTTCTCGTGTCGCCAATAGAAGCTCGAGCTATGAAAGTGCCCCAAAAATTGAGTACTATTATGTGAAGGATTTTCAGCGAAATCCACCAAAATTCGAATTGCGGGTTAATGGGACGTCGGAAGTGGGTACCGACAAAAGGAACGTGGTTGTCTGATTGTCTCCAACAAGATCTGACTCATGGTGGAGTATAAATCTACACACGAGAATTGCGGGAGAATGAATGTGGTTGATCCCTGCAAGATCTTACTGATCGTGGAGTTGAAACTTCAAACGCGAATTGCGAGTGAAGGTGAAGTTGGAAGCGGGTACTGACAAAGGAAAAATCTTACAGAAGGTGGGCTCAAAACTTGCTAATAGAGTAGGTACTGATCTTCCATACAAAAATGAGCTGAAGTGCCTTCGATCGAGGACTTTGATAATTTTTTATTAAATTTATTTTTCGACACTTATTATGTTGTAACCGTCCTAATACTTTCAATTTTCTTCCATAGATCATCGTCTTTTTTCAATTAACGTCTTTTTATACTCCTAGTACGCCCACGATTGGAGTGGAGGTGGCTGCTTAAAGTTATGGGGGGGGGGGCACTTCGAAAGACCCCCTTACAGGAGGCAGTATTAAATTCATCATTAGGCAACCTATAATTAGGAACCTTTAATAATGGTATTGAGAAATGGATAGTTGAATTTCGTCAAGAATTTAATAACGGCGAGGAGTTTTCAATTTTTTTATCTGATGCAATACATGCATTACCTGGAATTAAATATCCCGCTAGATGTTTCTATGAGTTACGTAAAAGTAAAAAAATCGTTACTCAAAATTCAAAGTTTAAAAATTGTAGTATCCCCGAACGAAAAATCCTTAAACAAGGAAAGAGAGGGAAAATCAAAAAGCAAAAGGCAGTGCGTAGAGTTCTCGATGGGGACAAAAAAGGATGTAACTTAGAACTGGAAGAAATTTTTAATGAATTTTCGCACCGTTTTTCAAAACCAAATGATTGTACAAGATATTCTTATATTCATAACTTAAATCATTGCATTGGTGAGGGGATAAACTTTGATTACGAGTAATCATGATGAAGTTCTTGCTGCAATGAAAACAATTCATGTGTACCTATACTAACCGGGTCTTGTTTTGCGAAAATCGAAATGCAAGAAGCATTTCATGTAAGAACTAAGTTAAAACCATTACCCCCATAATTCGACCCCGCTGAATCCGGCCGTTTTCCAACTCGAAATTCCAACCGGAAGTGAGTTATCCGAGATGGCGTCCAAATAGCGCCAAATTTAGGAGTTTTTCTCCTTTGGGCCATATGTACGTGATCCAGGTGTCTATGCCTATGTTTTCGGGGGCGTAGAGCGCAATTAAGCACTTCAATAAAATAAATTTGGTGCATTAAAAGGTCAGATTTTATCGAAAATTCTCCAAAACCGAAAAATTAGGTTGAAATGTGTATTAATAATGCTGTACTATGTTTCAGATTCAGACCACGTTTAAATGCTCAAAAACATTATGAACAGGTATTTAGGATATTCACTTGTCATTAATACTTTCTTTATTCATCATCTTCACCTGTCCCAAGGGACCCAGGACTCTTTCCTGCATCCACGCTGCTTAGTCTTGCAGAGTCCAAGGTGGAAGTTGGAAGATGACGTTAGATTGTCGCCACGCGAGAGAGGGACCATCTCGTAGTAAATTTTTATAATGGTCCTTACTTAGATCTCCCTTAAGTTTTTAAATCTCTATTAATATACGTTTCATATTTAATCAAAATCTGTCCAAAACCAAAAACGTTAATTAAAACCACGAGGGGTTTCAAATTAATTTGGCCCACCCTGTGTAAGATATTCCGAATAAATCCCAAGAAAACCATTGATTTACAATCTGTGCTCTTAAAAGTTCCCGAATGCTAGACGTGTGCCTGTGCTACTTAAGATTAATTTAGTCTCCGAGGGCATAGAAATATATTCCGGAACTTATTCTTTCCGTGTATAAAAATGAGTTGAATAGATGTAGTCCGCTCATTAATTCACTAGAATGTCGTGGACCTAACTTAGTGTTATTAATTACTGCCCTTGTGTTACAATGGTTTACAAAGTAGATCCTACTGAAAACAGTTCCCTTTCCGAAAGTAATTGGCACGATTACCGAGATATACCCAAGTAACTTCGCAAATGTACAATACTTGATTTAAGAAACGTTTCCCATTTAATGTATAAAACATATCCACAAGAGCAGAAGGAAATATTTAGAACTACACGCTTAGAATACGAAATACTCCAAATTGGATTTTTGTGCAGTGGAGAAAGAAATAATACGTCTAAATCAAAACAAACCTAGGATATTTGTGGTCGCTTTATAGAGAAAGGTAACTCCTTTCTTGCACTTCCAAAGGTTTCCGTGTAATAAATAATAATAAAGTTCGGCAAACGTAAAAGCCTCAGTAAAGCTACTTTGTCTAAAAATAGTAGGGAATTAAGGGAATCTAGAGACAATAAAACTGTAATTAAGTGTAGCGTTGAGACACATGCAGTTTATGGTGTGGATAAGATTGCTTCGGGGTTTTTGGGAGTCTTAAACTAAAAGTTTTTCTGTGTTTTGTTATTACCTGATTAGGTTTGCTGCGTAGTGCCGGTTGATATCGACGCCTTATCGAGCGCGGACAGCAGAAGCATAATATTCGAAGGAACGCTCTGAAAAAGAAAGCAGAAATGAATATTTTTTCGTTTACACAACTTACAATAAGGGCTTAAAGAGGTCGAGGTAGCGGTGGTCTCTAAGCCTCAAATTGGATATCGGGCACATAAAAGCTAAAGTAGCAGTTTTACTATCGGTACATAAACGCGAGATGTGGTTGTGTGCAATAATTTCATTGAAATTTAAAATTGTCTTTCCTTCCAGATTTATTGGACAGAAGGAATTGCAATTCAATCACAACATACACATTGTTGAGATAAGCAATCTTCCCAGTTTTCTCTTAGTGACGCCAGTTTCTCTTCTCTAAAACTAAACGTCGAGATGCGCTTTTTATTACCATTACTTTTCCTTCTTATCTTTTAAATTTAAGGGAAATGTTTCGTTTTCCTTTTAGGACAGCTGGAAATCCATCTTAGCGTAACAGAACGCATCGTTGAACATTGCATACGTAATAAATTTGGGTTAGTCTGCAAAATGTACAACTTTTTTTATGAGACAAATGAAAGCACTCTTTTTAACTGTTTTAGATTTATTTTTCTCTGGGAAACGTTTGTCATAACGTTGTCTATGTACACTTGAAGAATATGTTAACAAGTAAAATTTATCCATCATACGACCCCGCAAAACTTTCTGATGATTCATCTATGGGGAATTCTACAAATCCTCCCTATACAAACTATTCAGTTAAGTATACATAGACTGGTGGGTATTTGATAAACTAGATAATTTATTCCCGTATACTCAATTCGGAAATAAATACGTTTGTCCATGGGGTGTTATTTCCATGATCTTAACGATCGAGGAACGCAAGAAAATATCTACAAAGCGTGTGCCTTCATTTGTTCTCACAAATCCACGAATTTAGTTGATTTGTGACGTCAACTCCTACGTTTAGTGCGTCAATGTTAAAGGGATACGAAATTTTTAGTGAGAAGTTTAAAAGTTTGTGCTAAGAAGGAAGTTTTTCGATAAGTTGTGCTGGTTTCCTGTTAATTTGTGCGCCACCTTTCGCATATTGAGAATAAATATGGAACGAAAGTTAGGAATTTTATCCTTACAGGCCGAATTCTACAAGAATTTTTTTCCCGCTCGATCTGAGAGAATTTTTTTTCGGGCCTCAAAAAAAGGCAGGTGTATAACGTTCCTTTTTCACCAAAAATCGACTACACCAAAATTTCTTCTCGGGAAATTAAAATATGTAATACCAGCAATTGCTCCGATTATTCTAACACTTTTCAACAAGTCACTTGTGAGTGGAGTGTTTCCCCAAGTATTAAAAACAGCACGGGTGATACCGGTATTTAAAAATAACGGTAGTGGTAACGAAATTACTAACTATAGACCCATCGCAATTTTAAGTTGCTTCTCAAAATTATTTGAGAAGATAATCTATAATCGCGTCAGTTCTTTTGTTGACAAATTTAATTTAATTCCTGCATCTCAACACGGTTTCCGGGAAGGTTATTCAACAGAAACCGCAACCTTTGAGCTACTCCGGTATATCCATGAACAAAAAGACAAAAACAAATTAGTGTATGTGCTGTTTTTTGACTTGAGCCGCGCCTTCGACACGATAAACTGCCAATGTGTACATAATAAACTTTATAATCTAGGTATAAGGGGAGCTATTCTTGAGTGGTTGGTTTCATTCCTCACTAGCAGAAATTTACTTGTTGACATGCAAGGAACACTATCACAAAAGTTTAATGTTAACTTAGGTGTGCCCCAAGGATCTGTGCTGGGTCCATTAATTTACTTATTATATGTAGCGGACTTGCCACATTTTATTAATAACGGCTTTTTAATTAGCTTTGCGGATGATACTACAATAGCAGTATCTGCCGATAATATAAATAGCCTGTCTCGAGCCATTGACTCAGTCAGAGCCGACTTTGGAAGTTGGTGCACTAAAAACCACTTAGTTCTGAATAAGGATAAAACTGTAGGGCTGTACTTTGGTAAACCTAACATTGACTCAATTATCAACAATGCTGATTACATTAAGTTTCTAGGCACCTTTGTAGATACAAATCTTACGTGGACAAAACATGTTGACCATGTGGCGAAGAAACTAAATAGCGCATATTATATTATATTGAAGCTAATTCATATTCTTGATAAAAGTGCCCTGCTCACGGTGTACCATGCAATAGTATTCCCACATATGACGTTTAATATTATAGCGTGGGGAAATTCCTCCGAAATATCTAGAGCGTTTGTAGCTCAAAAAAGGATCATTCGCCTTATGTTTAAACTTAAGCCACTAGAATCCTGCAAACCCACATTCAAAAACCAAAAATTGTNGAAAATACAGAGTGGCCCAACGAGAAGTATACAGAGGGCTTTTAGGGTATTAAATTTAGAAATTTCGAAAAATCCTCGAACACGTCAATTTTGTATTCGAGGGGGACAACTTTTGGAATACAAATCACGAACCCAAGTCTTCACCCCTCTACGTAGGGAGCTTAACCCCTAAAATTTTAAATGGAATCCTATGGCAAATGGCACATTATTTGAAAGCCAATTTAATCGTGATTACTAATCTGCTTTGCTTTTTAAATTCTATTGATTCGTCGTAATCGAAAACAAATCGTTGAACACTTGGGTGTTCAATCTGACATTTATGTGGCTAGTAGTGGTGTGCCGCAGGGTTCCAACCTTGGTCCGTTACTATTTTTAATTTTCTTTAACTCTGTGTGCGGTGTGATATCTAATACTTCCTTATTGTATGCTGATGACCTAAAGATATTCGCCGTGGTCGATGGTGAAAATGACTGTGTTAATTTGCAACGGGATTTAGTGAACCTAAATTATTAGTGTGCCATAAATGGACTACGGTTAAATGCCAACAAGTGTTACGCAATGACTTTTTCTCGGAAATTACGAACAAAATTCATTTTATATAAATGGAAACAACCTACTACGACAGCATGAGATAAAAGATCTTGGTATATTGTTTGACACAAAATTAACATTTAATTCACATGTACAAAAGGTAGTGTCTGAATGCTTGGCTTCATAATTAGAAATAGCAAATTATTTTGTAATACCTCATCCATTACTGCTCTATACGAATCTTTTGTTATTAGTAACTTAGTTACGTATCTTTAGTTTGGTCGCCTGACAATGCAACAGAAAAACATTATTGAAAAGGTACAAAAACGTTTCCTTAGATAGTTGTACTTTCGTAAACATGGATCCTACCCTGAAATCGGATATACTTATAAGTCATTACTGAACGATTTTGATCACTTAAGTATTAGTAATAGGCAATCGACTCAAATTCTTGAGTACTTATATAAACTTTTAAATAATATGATTGACGATATTACTACCACCTCTAAGCTTACTTTTCTTGTACCTAGGCCTAATTCTAGACTCCTTATTAATTAATTAGTTGCTGTAATATTGTAAAACAATTAACGATTAAGTTTTACAATTATTGATATGATTTATTTTCACGTTTTCTCCAATATAAAACTTGGTTATGTTTAATCTTTATTAATTATGTAGTTGCTGACATTTTGTATAACTAAATATTAATATTTATAATTATGTCAAATTCAATTGTATCGACATTAATTTATTAAAATATCTATATTTGGTACCAAAATGTATATACTTTATATTATGTGTATTTTTACTTTGATAATTCGTATAATAGGCATTATTGCTGTTGGATTAAATAATAAATAAAAAAATAAAAATAAATAAATGACAAGGATTGTTTCATCTTTATATTTTTAAATTAGGGAACTTATTTCTTAGAAATAGCTTCCAACGATATTCATTTGATGTGTGGTAATTTCACCAACTGTAGTTGTGTATTGAAGGAAGGTGATAATTCTTGTAACGAGCATAGAACTGTTCAACAACTGCTTCATCAATTTCATTGCCATCAATTGCAATTGCAGTTAACGAGGGAACGTTTTTAAATACTTCGAGAGATAAATCGTGCAGTAAATTACCGTCTAAATTCACAACACTTAAATTTGGCAAACTTTCAAATAGCTCTCCATCTACGTACTGTAATTCATTATAAGATAAATTGATGTAGTGAACTGAGACTAACCCGTTAAACGCCTTGTGGTGAATACTTATAATGTCATTATAACTTAAATTGAGTATCATTAAACGTTCTAAACCTTCGAAGCAGGAATTCTGTAAATAACGAATGTTATTATAATCTAACCTCAACTCATTCGTAAACTTTAAATTGGTGAACATTCCATTGGGTAAATCTCCAATTTCGTTATGTGATAAATGTAGTCGCTTTAGGCTGGGTAGATTGGAAAATGCGTTGTTAGTTATGTTTTTCAATTGATTATTCGATAAATTAAGATCCTCAAGCTGAGCTAAATGAAACAATTCGTAAGCGATCCGTTCCAGTTTGTTAAATGAGAGATTTAAAATTTTTAAACGTTGGAGCCGTCGAAAAATTCCGCTTTCGCAGTGTCGCAATTTATTTCCGTGGAGGTAAAGCTCTTCCAAGTTGGGCAAATCGTCAAAAGCTCTAAATTCAATTTCACGTAGTTCATTGTTCGCCAAATAGATTTTTCTTAGCTGGCTCGATTTGGAAAACGCTCCTGGGTACAAGTGACGAATATTATTACCAAATATAATTAAAACTTTTAAATTTCGAGGTAAAGAAGGCAACTCGCGAATACGATTTGATGATACGTCTAATTCGTTTAAGTTGTTTGATCCATTAAAGCAGGTATTGGAATGTCCCTCAATTCCGCTACCTTTCAAATATAATTTCTCGAGAGTCCCAATTTCTGTTATCGCGTCGCAATGGAGATGCTTCAAAGAATTCTGCGACAAATACAAATACTTTAAGGATATCAGCGAATCAAAGGCAGTTTCGTTAATATTAGAGATGCCGTTGTGCTCGAGCCGTAATTCCACAATTTGAGGGAGTCGATGAAAAATATCACTCGGCACTTCTTTTAGCTCGTTATTAGAGAGATTGAGATGTTTTAGACTTTTCAAACTCGTAAAACTAACTTGATCCAGAGTTTGAATAAGATTGCTATCCACGTCGAGCGTTTCGAGCGATACCAAATCTTCAAACAAATTAGGAGGTATACTCTTTATCTTATTCCTGTATAAAGAGAGCTTCTTTAGGCCATTCAATCCGCTGAAAATATGTGCATTGAAATCCGAAAGTTCGTTGTTACCTATATTCAAGGTGCGCAGATCCCGAAAATTTTTAAACGTGTAGGAATAAATCTCCTTCAAGTTGCTGGATGATAAATCTAACTCTCGCATCGGAACTACAATACCTTTCATTGTTTGAAACGATAGTTTATGTATGCTTGAAAATTTTGTCGAAAGCTGATGTAATTGAGGCAGAACGGATAATTTTGATAAGACCAAGTTGTGGATACTACTCCCGCTTAATTTCAATGACCTAAATTGGTCACCACTCATATCGTACAGTTGCCTATTGATATCATCGATGGACGACATTTTGGAACAGGTGACTTCTTCTCCATTTGATTCTTGAAATTTGCACGAACATTTCCCGCTCGGTATACTATTCACAGACACCAGAAATAAGATTGTCATCCAGTTGTTTTTCATTTTAGATAGTGGAACTGAAAATTAATGTTTAGAGATAGATTTAAAGTGTAAGATTTTGCACCACTGCCTCCACAGTTCATGCACTAATTTGACTGAAATGGAATTTGTTTATAACGCAGAATCTCACTACAAACTAATAATAACATTGATACAGAGGTTCAAATTTAATGTTATCATCTGTTACAATGATCAAAAAAACGTTTCCTAGATAACGTTTATGAATAGCGATAATTATTTCCACTCGTATATGAATACTGATGTCTATGTGTATTTTAATGCAACGGGAGAAAAAAATTCCCATGAGCTGATTTGCGGTCTATAAACCAACTATAAAAACATTCTTCTATCTACAGTTAAGGATTGTGGTAAAATTTTAGCACAATTTCTACCTTTCCTAAAGTGTATAGCGACAATCCCAAAGGTTGGAAAACTGCCAAGGTGTGCTCCATATTAAAATCTGGGATATCCTCCCAGTTAACCAAATTACAGACCTATATCTATGATGTGTAATTTTTCCAAAGCGTTGGGAAACATTTTATACGATAGGCTGTTGCTCGATCACCAACATGGTTTCGTATCAAAACTAACCTGGCATGTTTTGCACAATGTTTGGGATAAACAAATTCATTTTTTCTACATTGACTTCCAAAATGCATTTGATCAAATTCACCATTTCATTGAATACAAGAAATGTCTGAATACGGTTTTATTGGGGCTATGCTGCACCTTTTAAAATCGTATTTTTTAAACCGACTACAGTTTCTATATAAGATATAATAGCCACGAATCTAAAGCATTTGTTTTCTACCTTCTTTGGGGTTCCACAGGGTGCACCTAAAGGCCGTTTTCTTTTGATGTTTATTAATGGCCTTCCGAAACATAATCTTCCCAAAACTTTTCATGAAAGGTAGATTTATTACCTAAAGACTTAGAGGCCACATGTGTGAACCATTATTGCCAAACCACCTATCTTGTTCTACCAACCTATGTACCAACCCAACCCACTATACATTAAAAAATATCCATACCCGAACGAAAAGGGCTTACATCCGTTTAATTAATTTTGAGTCAAGTTTTTGTGTCTTACTGTGAGACGAGATCTCGTACCGTTCTTTTATTGCGTCAATTCCCTGTTATCGTTCCACTGCCGTTCTCATTCACCATCATTCCCCCTATAACATCGTCGAACCTTGATTCTCCCGAATAAATACCTATTTCGCTACTTTTCTCTATTTTCTCCTCGTTATTCGTCTTGCATTTCCAGATCACCAGGAGTGGGTTTCTAGATTTGCCTGCACGGTTGGATTTGCCGAAAATTAGTGGCGCCTAAATTCTCTGAGGAGTTTTTTTTCAGTATCGTCGAACCACCGAGATCAGCTGAAGCCGTAATGCTGGATTATTTCTTTTCTTCCAAATTTTCTTCGCCACATTAGTTTTTGGCGCCCAACGTGGGGGTCTCAAGACTATGATCGCGTCATACGTGGAAGGTAACCACCGGAACTCGAAGCCCCTTTTACAGAAATTGGAATGTGCCATGTGTACTTCAGTTAGCGAATCCACCAAGCTGACACTTTATTATATTAATTTTGGCCGTGAAATTATCCTCAATGGCAATTACCATACTGTCCCGAACCATCTATCTTCCGATAATCCAAATAACGATCCAACTTCTCGAGCTGCCATTTTTGCTAAAGTGTATAAAGATGTTCAAAAACAGTTAGCTAAGAATACCGAGCGTACCCGTCATAACTATAATTTGCGAAGACGTGATGTACAATTTAACGTAGGTGAATACGTTGGCGTAAAAACTAACTGGAGTCTGGAATCCCAAAGATTAAAAACCAACTTATGATCCCATTGTAGAAGTAGAAGTTTCATTGTTTTGTAGTAAATTTTTAATTTTGCCTGTTACCAGTTACGAACCATTTTAAGTTAGAAGTAATTTTTTTGTTTACCCTAGTTTACTTACTTTTTTTGGAAGGGGGGGGGGCTTTTAAATAAACTTATCGGGCAGCAAGGTAAATTGGAAGTTGCTTAGCTTTTGTTCCTGGGTGCTGAGGTTGTCCAGCGGTGTTCGGCAGATTCTTTGAGGTTGTATACCAGTGGCTAAATACGGGGAAAATAAGGATAGTGATGAGAGTAGAAGGGATCAAATGGAAAAGAAAAGACTGAACACGGACGATTGAAGACGGAAGATAGAAGATTTCGTAGCAGTAGGTACATATAACAGGTATAACAAATAAGAACTAAAAATAAAAGGCCCTAAAACAAAGACCCAAATTACAACGTAACACTAGTACGAACAGGCTACTTACAGGTTGGTGTGGGCCTTAAACGTAGAGACAATATAATATTTTGTGTGCTTAAATACATTGGTGGTAGAAAATTAACGCCCGGATCAAAAGGGCTGAAATCCGGTGAGCAAGAGGTAAAATATATATTGGTTGTAGAAGCAAATTACAAATACAAGTGTGGCTCCCCTCTACTCTGAATTTCCATAATAGGGTTTATAAGGACGAATTATTACGTAGGGTGAACTTTAATAGGGTAGTAATCCCAAAATTTTTGGATATTAGGGGCTATAAAAAAAGAAGATATTATTATTATTATTACTATTAAGAGGCGTTTAGTGCGTGAAAGGAAGATAAAATTGTAAGAAGAGGGCCAGAACCGAAAGAAGGGAAGAAATCCAAAGAAGAGATTTAAGAAAATCAGCACGCCTATGAGATGAAATTCAAAACAAATAAACAAATTCCTAACCTAAAAATCAAAATAAATAATGCACAAATAAGTAAAAAATGGACCTGTAACACTCGGATTCGAACCAGGGACCCTCAGCACCGCAGTTGAGCTTCGACACCACCGCGCGACACGGGCAGGACGGAGAATAAAACCCCCTGGACCAGTATTCACGCTTTCCTCACTTAAGTGCTGAGGACCAGAGAGTTCGAAGGACGGGAAAGGGAAAGAAACAGGAACTAAAGCAGCGAAGAATGCACAAGCGGTGCCCTGAAGCTATTACTGCATAGGGGAAGTTAGGGTTTTAGTGGGTAACTTAGATAGCAATGCATCTTGGATTATTTCAGTAATTATTAAGGTCCACAAAATGTGAGGAATTACGGATTGGGAACATCCTCGAAGCATGCAAGGAGAGATTCGCGCCGAGAAGACTTCACCCGCGTGAAATTATCCCCCCCAACATTAAAATAATGAAACATCAAAATATACTTCCTTCGTTTGCACATTGATTGCACATTTAAGCTCACTGCGATTTTTCGTTTGCACATTTATCTAAAAAAGATATTGAAAAAACAAATTTTGGGGGCCCAACTTTTTTTTTTCAAAAATGCGCTAATAATTAAGTTGTTATACTGGTAGCACTATCTAACGGTAAAATTATAGCACCTCCGAAAACCATATCGAAATTATTTTCTTAAATTATCGATCTCACAAGTAATCTAACTCAAAATAGACTAGAGCCTGCACATCTACACTACATCAACAAGCTTTTAGTGAAAATTTGACGTTTCTAGCTATTGTAATTGCCGAGATTTCAGCCGGACAGGCAGCCAACCAGCCGTAACGAATATATATATTTTTTTCCAAAAAAAATAAGTAAAAATAAAACACTTTTCGTCAACAGAACACAAAATCGGAATTAAAAAGCCCAAAATAAAATTTCCGTTTAATATTCCTACCTACTTCTCAATCTATTAAGAATCTATTTGCTACTTATTAGGCATTTAATAATTGATTAATAGTTATGTCAGTTGCTGTGCCTATTTTTTCATAGGCACTATTAACAGTTCTAATTGGAATAATTATTTAGCTCATTGTATCGCACCCATATAATTATTTATTTATTTTTATTTTTCCCTCTCTTGTTCTATATAGAATAGAGGCTAAAGTTTCACCGTTAATTACGTATGCTACTTATAAATACGTATGTCGTATCGAACATGTCTGTAAAAGCATTCTATATTAAAAATTTCAAAAAAGTTGGAAAATGTGCTAAAAATGGCGCTAAATATAATCATGAAGATCACCGCACAAATTCCCATGTTAATACTAAAGACGATGTGCCAAAGAAATCTAACAGAAATCAAACACGCCGTTTCCGAAATAGAGAATCCAAAATCTATCAGTCGAAATTCATTTGGTGACATTCTATAGAAATGGATGAATGTACCCAACCTTATTTCCTTAATTTCTTTTTTAGGGCCGTAAAATCGAATAAAGTAAAATATACAGTTCTATTTTAAGGTTAGGGGCTAAAATCATGCAATAGGCCTTTTTGAATAAAGGAAAAAATGTATGCTTACATAAGTAAATAAAATGAAAACGAATAAAATATATAGCGCTCCATTATTTTAATGTTGCGGTGCTAAAATCGTGAAGTTGGGCCCCCAAAATTCGTTTTTTCAATATCTTTTTTTAGGGAAATGTGCCTAGGAAGTATTTGACGTTTCATTATTTTAATGGTGGGGGACTAACTTCACGTGGCACCTATGTCTTTTCTATAAGAAAAAGAAATTCTCTGAGTCCAAAACTTTTAATTTGGATACAAAAAAGACCTGGGATGGACTCATTATTTTGATATAAATACCAACACTATTATTCGCAATGCGTTCCGCCTGCAACCTATCTTAAACGTGCAATACATTATTACCTGTAGGTCGAGGCCGATTGTCTTGTTAAAATGTGTTATCGAAATCTTGAATCTTTAATAATAATTGGTTGATTTTATAATATACAAAACGGGTCCATAATTTACCGACACTAAAATCGTTAAATATTTAAAAAAAAATTTCGTATTTGATCACACTTTAAATAGTTCAACTAGCACTAAACATAGTTGCATAATCCATAAGTAGAGCACAAACTCAATAATTAAACTAAAATTGTATTCAAACTCTTCCTTAATTGCCCTGTTACTGGAATGATAAATATTGGGTTTACGTATTTAAATAGATTTGATCAAATTTACTTCGGATAATTACTACCTAAATGACCTACTCGATAGCAATGTAAAGATAGATTTACCTACTCTCAGGTTATAAAATTGCCGCCACCTTCCACTTTCGAGTTCCATATACGATTAGGTCGCTGTCGCACGTCTCGTGTAT